TCCTCAACTTCAAGACCGTCATCGGACGCGGCACTCGTCCCAGACGACAGCGACGATGCGACCGACGCGAGCGATGGGGAAGGAGAGGTACCGAAGAGGGCCGACGCAGCCACGTCATCGATATCAAGTTTCTCCAGCTCCAGCTGCTGTTGTAACCGCTGTTGGACCTGGTAGTTTCCGTGTGAGAAATAATCACTGTCCTCGTGATCGGACAGGCGCTCCTCGTTGATAGAGGAAAGAGGACTGTTTTCGACTGAGGTCTCCGAAATACTCATGACTCCGTTTTCCAACTCGCTGAGAGCATTCGAAAGAGCAGAGGATTTCTCCGTGGCCGCTTTCTGCTCCGAGGCCCGCTCGCGAACAGCACTGGCAGTCTGCGTGAACTCCTTCTCATCGCCCTCCAGCGGCGGAGATGCGGCGCGATTCGAATGCATGAGGCGCGCATGGCTGTGATGTTCACTGAAACTGTGGCCAGGGCGTCCTGCACTACGATCGATGTTCTCTTCCTCGAAATCAGGCGAGGACAAGTCGACCTCGGGACTAAGCGATCGTTCCCGTGCCAACATCTCCTCATCATCCAGGTCAGCGTTGGAAACGCTAGGCGTGAAGTCTTTCCCATCCACACCTGGAATAATCACATCATCCGAGTTCTCGGGAATAGGCCGACGCGGTAATGTTGTGAGGTAGTAATACACTTTGCGCGGGTGTATAGGAATTAACTCCTTTGCAATAGGGCACGGCGCCAGAGCAGTCCAAGGGCGCTTCATGTATGTGCCCAGTCGCGAAGACAAGAGAGCAGCGGGATTGGCGGAGCTAGACGCAGAAGCGAGACTGTTAGTTTTCAGTCACAGAACGGTTTGAAGAGAAGGGGACGGCGTACTTTGCGACATTCTCGTTGAGGGTAACGAGAACGGCTGCGAGCTCCTTAACAAGGTGGGGGCGATTTCCTGTCTTCTCTAATTGCTCAATCACACCCACGACGATGTCGTCGTTGATACCTTCTGTGTCGATCTTGGGTGCAGCGGTTCCGTCCGCAGGGGACGGAGGTGGCGTATGTTCATAAATTCCGCGCCTTCCGTTCGGCCGTATTGTTTGCTGGTCCTTTGCATCTCTGGAAGAATTCGACGATGGCAAAGGCTCCGGCGATGTTGATGCCGAGTCGTGCGACCTCTTTACTTTTTTAGATGGCGGCAATTGATCGTCGGTCGCGTGCGGCTGTTTCGACGCAGAAGGGGACCGACGAGATGAATTGGGAAGATGAATACCCAGCGAAGGAAGAGACAACGACTTGCGGCGAGTATTGTAAGGCATAATGTGTGGAAATAGAGTTGTGGATGGAGAAAGTAATAATATACGGGGGGAAGAAGAACAATCAGTGAAGCAGGTGAGTTATGGGTATGGTATAGTAGTAAAGAACAACCAAACAAAATACAGTTCGGAAATTAAAGGGAATCGATGCGAAGTAATATTACTTGAATCAACGACAATAAACCGTTAACATAGAGTAGATGATTAACAACGATGATAACAGATAATAACACACGAGCGAGGATAGTAGTAAGGTAGAAGGATGGAGAACGAGATGGGAAGCAGTTTACAGGGAAGGGGACAGGAAAGGAGAAAGGGAGTAGCTAGATGGGATGGATGGAGGTGATGGCGATGATGAGATGTCGGGATGGGCGGGAAACACGCAGAAGGGGAAGATTATTCAGAGGGCAGCTCGTTGGCCTGTTGATCCCAAGAATTATGATTGTTATGGGGCGATGAAAGGAAACAATTAACAATCGTTTCCAAAAGGGAAAATAGAAAGGTCAAGATGGAAAAGGGTGTGAAGACATGAGTGGAGTTTGGTATTTTTTTCCCCTAGGGATTTTTTTTTCCTTAGGATTTACGAAGGGGGAGACAAGTAGGGAAAAAGAGGCGGAAAAAAAAATCAGGGCGGGTGCTTTAGGGTGGCGTTGATTGGATTGGCAGAAGATGGGCTGGCCTTTTCTTTCACTATTTTATTCCACCAGGAATGCTTGCCTATGGTACGGACTAGTCTACGGAACAAGAAGAAAAAAAAGCAAAATGGCCGAAATATGGGATTGTTCTTCATTTCTTCCGTAGCTCCATAATAGTACAGTGCGTACCCTTTTTACTAGATGTCTCCTAGGTTGCGCTAGTCCAACAGTATCGACACAAGCTAGAGCAGTAGAAGAGCCTAGATGGTCATCCAGTCTTCACCGCCATAGCTGTTCCTAGGCAAAACCGCCTGGTGGTGATTGTACGTGCGTTTGGATGTCTGTCTACTCCGTAATATCTATCTGAATTTCTGAAGATGGATCACAGATTCACAGGCAAATGACCAAAGGGGCAAAAGTACAGTGGGGCCAGCCATGTGAGTATGACGACTAGCAAGAATGGATGACTATCTCATTGGGTAAAGGAGCCTAGGATCATCTATGGTTCTGCATGGACTCCATGGTGGAGATATGCACACTACTATGGAGCGAGCAAAGAGGCGAATCGGGTCACTACGTATTGCTTTCTAGGCTCCCGCGGTGGCAGTTAGACCAGCTGAAAATGGCCCAGCGCTCCTGGTTGCTGCGCAGAGATTTTTCTTTTGGATAGATAGAAAACAAACAAGAAGTATGCCGGTTACCTACATAGCCCAGATACTACTACTATTTTTGAGCCAGCTCACTTCCACACAGGCTAACTCTATAGAGAGGCATTGACATGCCAACATCTTAGTTACTAAGTACTACCTTAGTGTAGTCTGCTTCTTGACCGACTCGATAGACGAGCATTCTCCGATCGTCGCATGTTTACCTTTTGCTAAACAGAATTTATGCTCATATCTTTGAAGCTCCCAATCATAAGCTCGTATGACATCTATGGCGACCACTCTCCATGGGAACTTTAGTCAGTGAATGCATCATAGCTTGCTTGGTTCCGTGGTTTTTCAAGGACAACCGGAGGTTAGAAAGCGATGACCACAGTTTCATACGAAAGGTCGATACAGGGAAGAGGAAACGGAGGAGGAGGAAAGTTTGAGCCAGCATTAGCGCGTAGTATGTTGATTCGGGACTAACCCAAGAAACGAAATGGAATTCAAACGAATGGAATTCAGAATTCTAGAGAGCTTCCCATCCAGAAAAGTGGATTCAAGATGTGACCACGCGTTCCTAGCGGCGCCGTTTTGGACATCAAATAACGAATAAAATTGTTGATGGTGGAGCAAATTCTGAGCTATGCAGCAGAGTGGAAGAGAATCCAATCGGATGGGCCACAGGGAGCTTGTCATGATTTTTACACTTTCCAGATTTCCGGAATTGGGTTGTCGAGGGTCGCAAATAACCAGTTGCCAGTTGCCACTGGCTTGCTGCTCCTTGCTTTTCTGATCCTGAGACCCTGTTACTCTTGTGTTGTGTTGGCTCGAAAAGTATAGCAGTCGGAGGATATCGCCTTTCCCACATTAAACTCCAAGCCTGCTGTACACCAGACCGATGGGTACTCCGTAGATAGACTGTTCTTAAAACGGATAGAACAAATCTCTGTGGTAACGGCTAATCGTAAGTTCAAAACAACGAGGAAGTTGGAGAATGCTCACTTTGGCTGGTACTACCCCAGTTTCAAATGCATGCCTAGGTGCAATGTGATATGTATTAGCGGGGCAGCAAGGGATGAGCAAGAGTAGCTACCTAGTACATTCCAGGCATCCCTGTTATTTTTTGTTGCCAAGCTACCACATTACACCTCACACCTCCTATCCTATGCTTCGAGCCTCAAAGACTTGGGTATCTCGGCGATGTGACAAATGAGATTTATGAATTATGCTTATCTGAGTATTCGTCGTCTGTAGGACAGCCACATTGCGGTTAAGATAATCCAGAAGATTGTCTCCATCTCGCGAGGCGGTGGTTCTCACGCAGCTATGCTTAAGCTACAGCGCAGACCGTTAAATGTACGTCGTCCTTGCTTAACCACACATATTTAGACTTCGTTGTATGAGTATCTGATACCATCCACTTACATACATTACCTGCATTGCTATTGCATTGTTTATCGATGCATGTACGGTGTATCTTCCCCATGATCCGCGCTTTATGGAGAAATAGAGAGCCCACTCCTACTATCAACATCATAGTTATCGAATAGCCTCTGATGTCAGCAGTTTCGTATGAATCCACGCTCCATCTCCATAAGGCAGAGTGGCAGGTCCACGAATAAACAGAGTTCTCGCTTACCTAGTGCTATCACCATGTCATTATCTCCCACTTGAGTTTTTCTGCCAGAGATGGTTCACCTGTCAAGGCTTCCCTCAAGATCACCATGACACATCCCAATAAATTAACTAATGTCTCAAATATGAGCACATAACCATCATACTAACCAGGCACCAGCTCTATCATTGGAGCAAGCGCCTACAATTCTGCCCATCAACCCCAATCCAGAATCCAGATGGGTCCTCTCTGGAAACTCTGAGCTCGCTAAACAAGGTATATACTTTCACCAAGTCTCCATGTACCCCGCATATGTGATGCATTTGGCAACGCCATCTTGACCTCATTTTGGGCTACTCCGTCGTAAAGAGCCTAAACTACTCCATGCCTCTCTAGGCCGTCAAGAGGCTTCATCGTATAAGTTCCACTTAGTTCTATTTAGTTGATCAGCGGTGGTGTGCGTGGTCAAAACACCAAGATGAGCTCATCGGTAACGAAAGGAAGACGTCATGATGTATATTGTGAGGGGTTGCTCGGTCTAAAGCCTTCTGCTCCATCTTATCATGTCAAAGTATGTTACGATTCAAATTTCGTAAGTCATTGAATATCCAATTAGTACTATAAACTGCTTATCTGAGAAGTAACATATCAACAAAATATTTGACCGGATATTGATGCAAAAATCGGCTCCGTAACCATGTCATGCGCCATTACTTGTCTCTTACATACTTAACAGTTCGTACAGACCCAAGTCTATCTAATATACAATATTATGCCAATGCATCCCGATCGTCATTGCTTAGCATCTTGACTTCCACTCACTGGCCTCAGGACATACTTCCAGGTTGTCCCAAAATGCCACCGTTTCTCCTCCACGATCTCCAACCCACTTTGCCGAACAATCTCGCCAATATCTCGATTCCACCAGCATCCGTGCCGGTCCGCGTGTGCGGGAGCCAGATTGTCCAAGATTTTGTTTAGCCAGTCGTAATATGACCGACCATGCTCAAGTAGCAATATCTGCCCCTTGTGTGGTTCTGTAATCGATCCCAAATGGCGCAGAGTGCCCACAGGATCTGGCATCGAGCATAGTCCCATGGTCTGCACGATGGTATCATAGTATGTTGGCTTCGCTCCCGCCGATGGGGGAACGACGTCCTTTGCATCCTGCGCACGGAACGTCACTTTCTTGAAGTCCGGATGGAGTTTCCCGAACTTATTGCGTGCGACTTCTATCATCTGCGGGCTGAGGTCGACAAAGGTGACGGAGCGACAGCCCCGGATCACTGCTCTTCCATCTTCATCATGACCGCGTCGTTCCCCCAGATCGTAGTACTCCAGGTTCCGACCAGTACCGCAGCTCACCTCCAAGACATCCCCGCGTGCCTTCCGGACAAGGTCCTGTCGTTTCTTGCCCATACGCATCACCTTCTCTGACATTTCGACTTCAGCATCGAAGTTGGGTGCGGTGCGGTTGTACCGGTCTGATACATCCTGGGGAACATCAAGCGACTGCGCCTTAGTTGCCTCCCGCCTGTAGGAAGCGTAGAGATAGCCGCAATAGGTGCTGATGGTAAGCGCTGTGACACCCAGAACAGTTATGGCTCGTGGAGAAAGTCGAGGGGTCTCCGGCCCCGGCTTGAGATTCAATAAATGAGGGTTGGCCCGCTTCGGCAGCACAGGAGCCGCCGGACGGTTGGAGCTACTCTGAGTCAGAAGACTGGGTTCAGGAAACAGAAGACATGAGAAGATGATAGAGAATAAGGATGAAATCCCATTCTACATCGCACTGACCTTGGTCTTTCTACAGTCGGGTACTTGGGACCGGACACAGGCACTTTAGCCTTCTTTAACCCTGCTCGGCCTGCTCGGGATGCACTCATGATTGCGAGTAATAGTAGGTCTATCGGACAAGGTCTCAACGAGTTTTCGAGGTATCAGGGCAGTGATTTGATTCCATTCCTCTGCGTGGCTCTATCCATTGAAGCTCAAATATCGCCTAATGGTCAAGAGTAAAGCATATAGAGAAAGCGCGATCACCTCCAATCAAAATCAATGGTGGTATGATCAGACAGTCTATCTCGGTTGACAGCTTGACTGGTCAGGCCAAGACCGATAGGGCGTGAGGTTTCCCAAGTGACATCCGACCGTCGGAACCGGGCCGGCTCTTATCTGGTGCTGATGACTATGGACTATGGACTTTTCCGCATTCCACATAAGAAGGGTGATTCTGATTCTTTACTCCAGCTACGATTATGTTCCCCTTTGGCTTTCTCGAGGGTCATCTCAAATTTGTTGGTCAATTGGGATAGAGTAAATACTGCAGCGACGACTTTGCATTGAGGAAGACATGGCGCACCCTCAGAAGATCCTTATCGTCGGTGGAGGTGTATTTGGCTGTGAGTCCTTCAGTTTTCCTCCGAGTATGGCAAACAGGAGATGGGATGATATTTCCTGTTCATGGCAAAGGGGTCGATTACATATTTATTATTCCTATTTTGACTTGTGTGACTGCTATATATTATTTGTCAATTGCAATCCGCGACCCCTCCTACATTCCTTGACACATCGGTAACTGATAATGCCCGCATATAGTGTCCACCGCCCTATCATTGTCGCAACGACACCAAGACTGTCAAATAACTCTGCTGGAACAATCACCTATGATTCCTAACCCGCATGGCTCCTCCGTCGACAGCTCACGAATCGTCCGCGCCGATTATTCTCATCCCGTCTACGCCAAACTCGCTGCTGTCGCCATTGACCGCTGGCGCAATACCGAATGGGGAAAGGAAGGTCGCTACACGCAGAACGGACTGATGCTCGTTTGGACTCCTGGCGGTGAACAGGCGAAAGACTATGCGACCAAGAGCTACCACAATGTCAAGCAGTTGGAGGGCGACAAGGTCGAACTACTCCCGTCGGCTGCTGATGTAATGCGGATCGTGCCAGAATATGGCAAGGAGTTGAATGTAGCGGGGGGATACATCAACTGGGGCTCGGGCTGGGCAGACGCCGCAGCGGGCGTGCGATTCGCAAAGAAGCTACTGGACGAGCAGGGAAAGGTTGTTTTCAAAACCGGCGAAGTCGACAGGCTCCTGCTTGCCGAGAGCCGGAGCGGCACCTCCCAGCGCAGAGTCACCGGTGTCGTCTTGACAGACGGCACAACACTCACGGCCGATCTTGTCGTCCTTGCGACAGGCGCCTGGACAGGTAAGCTTGTCGACCTCCGCGGCAGGGCCATCTCAACCGGCCAGGCTCTGGCATACATGCGCATCTCAGACGAGGAGCAGCGCCGATTAGCGAACATCCCCACCGTCCTCAACTTCGCCAACGGCATCTTCATCATCCCGCCTCGAAACAACCTCCTCAAGATCGCCCGCCACGCCTACGGCTACCAGAACCCCAAGGCCGTCCCAATTCCCGGCGGCAACGGCGCCACAATGCAAGTCAGCCTGCCGGAGAACGGAGTCCCCGTCCCTCTGGAGGGCCAGGAGGCCTTTAGAACGGCCCTCAAGGAGCTACTTCCCAGCTTCGCGGATCGTGAGTTTGTCACAACCCGGGTTTGTTGGTACACGGACACGTAAGGAACCACTTTCTTTACCCTCTCCAAAATAATGTCATGGCTAACACAGGTACACTGTACCCCAGACCCACCGGCGACTTCATCGTCGACTACCACCCCGACTACGCAGGCTTGTTCCTCGCAACAGGCGGAAGCGGTCACGCATACAAGTTCTTCCCTGTTCTGGGCGACAAAGTCGTCGACGCAATCGAGAGGAAGCTCGAGCCTGAACTGCGGAATCTCTGGAAGTGGCGGGTGGAGGTTGACCAGAGCGCGTTCGAGGGTGACGGGAGCAGGTCCGGGGAGCAGGGGCTCCTCCTGATGGAGGAGTTGGCTAAGAGCACGAAAGCTCAGCGGAAGAGTGTTTTATGATAGCTCTTCCATCCTGTAAATAAGGTATAACACCGTATAAATAAGATCCGTAGATTACTAATCCGTCGTCCTGACATATCTCCATCAAGAAGCAGTAGTATGAGAGGGAACGAAAGGGGGGCATCCCTGACACTACCTATTAACGCCATTTCTGTGGAGAAGGAAGGTTACACGAGTATAAATATTAGGGAAGACCATTTACAGATTTTTATCTACTCTGGAAGCAAAAGTATCGACTACCTTATTCATTTCATTCCTAAGAATGTCGTAGTCTAATCAAGTGCGGCATAATTTTCTTTTCGTCCATATCCCACGAGCTCATAAAACAAAGAGTAACCTCATACTGGACAAAGCCAGGAGAGTTCAAGCCAATAGGCGAAGAACACGACCAGATATTAGAAAGGAGGCAACCATTCGACCAGCGCACAGTACCGCCCCCCAAGTCCGCGGATTGTGCTACTATCTAATTGTAAACATTTGAAATATTTGGTGAAACAGGGAACAACGACCATGGGGTAGAAGGGTCCGAATCGCTAGAACGCCGTACAAATGCTAGCATGAAGAATCATCATAAGCGAGGTCACAGCAAAAAGGGACTGAAAAAACCACCCATCCCTATGAACCTCTCAAAAGGAAAAAAGAAGTGTTAATACAGGTGGGAATGTGTGAAGGATATGAAGTGTGTAATCTTCATATGCTGACAGATATGCCGCGGGAGGCACTTAGACCTTGCGGAAATCTGATCCAATCGTTAGCATATGGTTCTGCTTCAAACAGAAAAAAGAATAACCATACCAGAAAGCACAGGATAGATCAGTTCGAATGCCTGATAAATCTCTTCACGGACTTTGGCGCCGGTCAAGACAATCTTTCCACTGACGAAAATCAAGAGGACGATCTTGGGCTTCATCATACGATAGATGAGACCAGGGAAAAGCTCAGGTTCGTAAGAACTGAAGTTGTGATGGCGACTAGCCAGACCCTCCAGGCGAATAGGGAACTTGATGTCACAAGAGCCGACGATGTTCTGAATCTTGAAGTCGGTGAACTTGGCATTGAAGCCCAGTTTCTGGATGATACGCGCGTACTTCCTGGATGCGAGCTTGGAATCGTCTTCAGACTTCGCACCAGTGACGACCATCTTGCCGGAGGCGAAGATCAGTGCGGTAGTTTTCGGTTCCCGGATACGCATGATCACGGCCGCGAAACGCTATTAGAAGGAAAAGCAGTTCAGCCCACACTGTACCCTGACATGACCAGCTCAGGGAGGTGCGGAGATTAATACCTTTGGGTTGTACTCTGCATTTCGTGCATGAAGCGCAATAGTCTTAAGATCCAAGCGGCAGTCAAGGTTGACAGTAGCAACAATGTTTCTTGAAGAGAAAGTCCTTGTTCAGCATTCTGGTGATCCAGAAAAACAGCAAGAGTATACTCACTGCAAGGTAGGCACGATACCACTTCCCGGAGCATTGGCACCAGGAGTCGCAGCGGGAGTAGCGGGCGTCACCCCATTGCCGTTGACGGCATTTCCTCCCTGCTGATGGCCGTTCACAGTTCCATTCGCACCCTGAGCGCCAATCGCCATGTTTCCTTCTTTTTCAGAAGACGGAGGTGTCAAATCACCGGCACCACCGGGAAAGGACAGAGAAGCGGGGGAAGTGAAGGCCCGGGCCTGCTGCGCGGTAGAAGGATGGGTCGTGAGAGATTCCATTGCGACGTGAGCAAGAGAAATACTCGAGCTGTAGACCAGCCGAAACTGAAGTAGCTATGCGAGATAAATTCGCGAGCCGAAGAGCTTGTAGACGGCAGTCTGTCCCCTCAGATAGACCGAGTCAGTCAAAAAAGCCAAAGAGGTTGATGATTATAAGGATTCATGTCACAGTATGGACAGAGGGGTGAGGGAGGTGGCGGAAAAGGAATGAGAAATGAGGTGGCGAAGAAGATGACAGAATGGTGGGTGACGATGTGTTGCAACTGTGAATATATTGTGGGCGCGAAAGGAAAAAAAGGCGAGTCTCACCCTTTTGTGGGAGATGAACAACTCAATGTCTCCCCTACAGCAATGCTGCCTTAGCTCAACTCAAGCTCGAAGTGAGGAGTCGATAGACGAACAGCAGCAAGATAGGTCTGGTGGAGATGACAAAGAGGCAAAACCAACCAGAGAGAAGCTCAACACCAGCGAGATGATGAGATACTAGAAAAGCACAATCAAGTGTTTCCTAGTCACACTTATGCAGTAGCACAAAACAAGTGCAAATGAGGGAATGGACAGTGACAGAAGCACGTGAAAGAGTAGAGCTTTTTCTTCAGGTCAAGCAAACAACTTTTTTTGTCTTTGGTTTTTTTTTCCCTTTTGGGTAATGGAGATGTCTATCTGCGTCTTGAAAGAGAGTGGCGAAGATGCACACCTGAGGCTGCAAACTTCGTGTTTCAGAGTTGATACTGAAACTGCGCGGAAGAAAAATTTTCTTTTCTTCTGAGCGTCTTATTAGGCTTCTTCCCGGAATTCTTCAGGCCAAAGAAGCAGAGAATACTATGCTGAAAATAGCGGAACTCTGCGACTCTATACGAGAGTGGAGAGAGAGGGGAGGGAGGAGAGGTTGGTCGTCGGGAAGAAGGCGACTGGAAGATTAGTTTCGGCGTTCCGGGCGGTGCCAAGACCAGGGTCAAAATTCCAAGAGCAACAGGAAAGTGGGAGGTTGGGCCTTTATATAGGCTGACTCACAGCGCCCGAGAGTGCTGGCGTCAGGGGAGGCTGGGCCGGGCGGTGGCGGCAAAAGCAGCGATGGAGGTCGTTTCCATCCATGGGTTTGGCTGCTTTGGGGCATCTGTTTGTGACTTAGCGTTCCACTAGCGGCTTCCGGGGTGGTCAAATCCTCGAGGCTGAGTGGCTTCCCTCTCCTTCATCCCAGCAAGCGCCATTCTGCCATTTATGGTTGGCTGAATGTGAGACCCACCTAGCACATTTTCTTTGGGAGCTCCACCTAGCTGTACACGCTCTGTTTGGCTGTCCATCAGACATCCCTTTCTCCTCTGATTCTCCATGGTTGCAGCCACTAGCAGTTGCCCAGTCCGCGTCGCTCCTGCAACTGCTCGTCAGACCCACTGCATCCATCCATCCATACCTGTTCAGCAAATAAAAGTGCATATCGCTCTCAGTAGGTTTCCCTCGCGACGCGCCTCCTTTCGTGCCGCTTTAGTGGATGGCAAATGAACAAAAGTCTTTCCTTTCGCCCAGTCGTCACTTTGGTACCGCTGTTCCGTCCATGATTTCCTACCTATCCTTCCCTGTTTATGAGGTTGTTGACCTGTCTATCATGGTGGCTTGACCCAACAATCGGCTTTCAAAATACTTTCCATTACTGGAGTTTGAGCTGAGATGGACAGGAAAGTAGATGAAAAAAAGGACGAGTCTGTCTAGCCACTAGCCCTTTGACTTTTGTCCGTGATAGGTCCAGGCGATTCGGGAGGTGTTTCATGGTTTATCTTCTCTCCAGACTGGAGCCTGGGACGCGGACCTATCTATCCCCAGATCTCACGAGTCACGATTCGCGATCCACCAACTTGACTAATTAAGGCTCCTCGGCTTTGTCCAATCGTCCTCGTCCTACTCCGTACTTAACGTCAATAGAAGTCAATGTGAAATCATCTCCTTGAGCAAGTCTCCGTGGAAAACTCGGTAATTGAAAATCAACTGATTTCCTTATTATTCCTCTATCAAATCACGCCTAGATAATGCAAGCACGCTACGGTAAGTCGTTGATATTATCCAAAATATCAGTATCAGTATACAGGCTGGTGATCACCTGCGTATAAGCCAAGATATACAAGGTTTATGAATCTAGGCTGTGATGTTATACGGTCGGCGACCCTGTACTTCTTCCATCATAATCGACATCTCAAGTGCGGAGTGACAAGGTATCATCTGGGCCTATCCTGTTCTACTTCTAATCTACATTATCCAGATCTTCTCTTCAGCCACGTGTAGAACCTTACATGATACCGGCGGATAGTAAGGTAGTCTGTCTCCGTACATACCTTCCCCTCCCGAAAGGTAAACGGTCAGATGCTTGTCATTTGGACATGTTGAGCCTCACACGTCTTTCATGTGATTCCATCACCGAGCCTTGTGTGGCCTGGGGAGTCCGCCACTAAGAAGTGAGTTTAGGTAATTTACTCTGTAGAGAAATACGTACGTCATGGGTCGTCTCAAACTATCAGTTTCACACTGTGCGAGCAAACGAAGCTCTTCACCTACCTAGTATTTATGCCATTGTTGAATTCGGGTTCCGACGGATCGGACAGTTTATCAGCGGAAAGACGAGGTAGGAGGATGATTCCCATCATCGAGATTCCCATTGGCTGAGCTTACCTCGGGTACTGCCAACTTAACTGTCCTCCACCGCCAAATTCGGCCATCCCACGAAAGTCCCACCATAGCCTTTAAGTCATACTCGGGCTGTTCACAGGGCTTCTTCTGTGATTAATATCTTCTCCAAGTTTTTCTTCTTGGAAGGGCTGAATTGCCATGTCTGCTCATCATCTGTAGACATCAGAGGTACTAAGAGTGGCAGTTCGAATTCCCTGTTGCAGTTTTCTCCGATATCGCCATGGCTTCAAAAGGAGCCGTCTTGCCTCTCTTGAGGCGCGAGTTGCAAACAAATCGCACACAACTGAATAGAGCTGCTTCAACCTTTTCGACTGTTGCTACGACCGTTCGGAACAGGAGAGCAGTGTTCGCTAGGCATTCGGCCCGCCACAGCGCGCTTTTCTCTCAGAGACAACTACTCGGTCAAACTCGGGCATTCTCGCAATCGCTATCGACAAGGCTTCCAGATGAGCATGATCAATTCGATCCCCGTCAGGTAGAGAGGGAGTCAGATGAGGTGGACGTGTGCATTGTCGGTGGCGGTAAGAGCTTTCGTGTTCGCCAGTTATTCGTGGCTACCCAGCGGTTTGGTGGCTGACTCAATCTATTCACCATCGCAGGTCCTGCCGGTCTTGCGGCAGCTATCCGGCTGAAGCAACTCGCAAACGAGGCAGGAAACGAGGAGTTCCGTGTGATTGTGCTGGAAAAAGCGGGAGAGCTGGGCGCACATATACTTTCAGGCAATGTTCTCCAACCGACGGCAATGAATGAGCTTCTGCCTGATTGGTTGTCCGAGGAGAACCCATCACGATTTGAGGGCGCAACACCAGCACGGGAGGACAAGATGCGCTTTTTGACCAAGAACTCGTCGTTCCCGATTCCTGCCCCACCCCAAATGAACAATCATGGCAACTACATTGTCAGTCTGAATGAGCTGACGAAGTGGTTGGGTGAGCGAGCTGAGGAATTGGGTGTCGAAATCTACCCTGGATTTGCCGCCAGCGAGTTGGTCTACAATCGGGATGGCTCCGTCCTCGGCGTTGCGACGAACGACCTTGGTGTTGGTCGGGACGGGAAGCCCAAGGACAATTTTGAGCGGGGTATGGAGTTTCATGCTCGTGTCACTCTCCTCGGCGAGGGCTGCCATGGTAGTTTAACGAAGCAAGTGATCAAAAAATACGACCTCAGACGCGATAGTCAACCCCAGACTTACGGTATCGGGTTGAAGGAGGTGTGGGAGATTCAACCGGAAAAGTTCAGGTCGGGAGAAATCGTGCATTCTATGGGATACCCGCTGCCTTCGGACACCTACGGTGGTGCCTGGATGTACCACTTTGGAGAAAACTTGGTCAGCATTGGGTTGGTGGTTGGTTTGGACTATCCCAACCCATGGCTTTCACCTTACGGAGAATTCCAGAAGCTCAAGCACCACCCCTTGTTCAGGGAGGTCTTGGAGGGCGGCAAATGCATCTCCTATGGTGCTAGGGCACTCAACGAGGGTGGCTTCCAGTCGATTCCTAAATGTGCTTTCCCAGGAGGTGCTCTCATCGGTGACACTGCTGGCTTCTTGAACGTTCCCAAAATCAAGGGCACTCATTCGGCTATGAAATCGGGCATGTTAGCAGCGGAGGCTACCTTCAATGCTTTGCAGAATGACAACAACGGTACTGTCTTCCTTTTCGAATACGAGGATGCTCTTCGAAACTCGTCGATCTGGAAGGAGTTGTACGAAGTGCGCAATATGCGGCCTTCGTTCAAATCGCCGCTCGGTCTTTACGGCGGTATCCTCTACTCCGGCTTAGAAGCCTTCCTGTTCCGCGGTAAAACACCCTGGACACTCAAGCACCACGGTACAGATGCAGCATCCACTAAATCGGCATCTGAATGTGAGAAGATCGAATACCCCAAACCTGACGGCGTGATCAGCTTCGATATCCTGACCAGTGTGAGCCGAACGGGAACGAACCACGAGGAGGACCAGCCTGTCCATTTGCAGGTCGCTGATTGGGACAAGCATACGGACATCGCTTGGCCCAAGTACCAGGGCGTTGAAAACAGATTCTGTCCTGCTGGCGTTTACGAGTACGTCGAGGACCCAAGCAAGGAGCTCGGTGTTCGCTTCCAAATCAATGCCCAAAAGTAAGTCTGATTCTTACGCGCGTTTTTCTTTTTTGCCTCGTGCAGATGCTAACGACATACAGCTGTATCCACTGCAAGACGTGTGATATCAAGGTACCGACACAGGATATCAATTGGCAAACGCCTCAGGGTGGAGAAGGCCCTAAATACTTCAAGACATAAGCCCATACCCCGTGTAATTTCTCTTTCATTTTCATTGTCTT